CCCCCCCCCCAAACCCAACCCCCCCCCCCCCCCCCTCTACACACACACCACCTCCCACCCATTCTGGGGCAGAGCCAAGTAAGGTCGAGGGATTCATCCGAACCCTCCAAAATTATATTGTTTATACATAACTAAAATTATTTTTATAGATATATAGTAGATGTTGAACCATATTCGACTTCTTCGTGTGTTTACACGTTCATATTTTGACCCCCTTAGTGAAAATTCTGACTTCGACATTGCAATCATTCCCTATCCCTACCCCTAACACCACCTCTCACTCCCCCAGGCCATAGTGCCTCCATCCCCATCCACCTTGCCCACTCACCCCACCCCCTACTTGCCCTTCCCGTGCCCCACTTCATCACCCTTTCTCCCACGACGCCACCTACCCTATACTGTTTCTCCAGATTACATATAAATATTTTCAATTTATATCCCGTCGACTCATCAAATACCAGGAAATAAGTGATTTCTTCATACCAAATAGGAAAAAGCCTATTTCTAACATCACAACTGAGTAATCAAACAAACACCATCAATAAAATTAAAGCGGCAGGAGAAACAAAACTCACAAATTGATCATGAAACTCGGGCGTCCACCGAAAAACCTCCATGATTGCACCAGCAACAACAACCCTCTCTTTCAACAAAACAGATTGATAATCCTCTTCAGCAGTGAAATCAAGAAATACATGGTAAGAATCATAAGACCTAATTTTCACTACCCCTTTAAGAGAGAGTTTCGCCTGGAAACTAACACGAATTTTAGTCATCTTTGGTTTAGGTATAAAGAAGTTTCCAACCATTGTAAGTTTACATACCGACACCATGCTATTCCAATCCCAATACTTCTTCCGAAAGATTGCTGCTGGCATTCGCCTGTAGTTTAAATACACAATCTTTGATTTTGGTTCTTGATTTTCACTGTTGAAATCGATTTGGGGTGCCGCCATTTGGGGCTCTAATGTGCAGAATTGAGTATGCACTTTGCGCTAGAGTGGGAAGAGAAAACGTACACCTATATATACAAGTCAATATTACGTTTTCTTATTTGACCATTCGTACCTCCGTTCATTTTTACTTGTCCATTATCTTTTGAATCAATGTTATTCTTGGTATTAAATACTATTGGGAAAAAGGACCGAACTATCATAAATTTTATATAGATATCCTCCGTCATATTTTTGAGACATTGATGCCGCTGCCGTCTAAAAACTAGAGCATATATATTTTTTATATTAACGGACGATAGGGGCACTAATGTCCCAAAAGTATGACGGAGAGTATCTTCGTATCATTTACGATAGTTCGAAGATATATTTGTCCTTTTTCCCAATACTACTCAATATCGAATACATTTCTCAAAACATTCAATTGAATATATTCAAAGGATAATATAATAATATTATAATAATATTACTTATTGTTTCCTAAGGTGTGTGTCAAGTCAATATTGGACAACGGGAATATTTAATAGCGTCATCTCTATTTTAACCTTGTTGGATCCTACTTATGGTGAAGAAAAATCAAGTGTGATTTTAATAAGGGTAATTTGGTAATTATAATAAAGTTCTTTGTGATTGGATAAATAATGTCACATAAATTATGACGGATGAACTACTATTTTGAGTTGGTCTTTAAGTTTTGCAGTGATCTTTAATTTTTGTTCACTAAATAATAAAAAGGTAATCGAAAATATCCTTGATGATTTTAAAAAACAAAAAGAAACTTGCTAAGTAAATGATTATATTTTTCATATCGTAATATAACACAAGTTATGCTTTATAAAACATAGCAAATTATGTCTCTTAATTCCTATAGAATTTATGTCGTTAAAAGTATAAGTTTAGTTCAAAGCCAACAAGTTCCTACGGAACTTAAGTTGATAAAAGCACAAGTTCCACTTTATTAAAATGTTATAACTAAAAAAATTCATACACAAGTTATGTCTTAGTTTCTACCTAACTTATGCCGATAGAGACATAAGTTCAATTTCAGAATTCATAGACATATTTTTTTTCCTACATAAATTTTGTCCGGACAAGACAAAAATTCTAAAACTTTAAGTCGGACAAGATAAAAAAATTCTAAACTTATCTCGGACAAGATAAAATTGTTTTACCCTATTCTAGTCACTACTTAAACCTTGTACTTAACAAATTCACTAAATAAATACAATAATTCTAATATTCAAATTCTGAATTTGTCTCAAGACATTGTCGATGCACGATAACATTCACATGTTCAAATGGCAAGAGTCACACACCGCGGCGGTGGATAGGCATGTTGGTGCAAGGAGAAGAACGAGATTGTGAAACTCGACCTCAAAATTTCAAAATTTAAATTCTGAATTCATTTTTTTCAATAGCAAGAGCCACTACGACCACGCTCGGGAATGTTGGTGCAAGGAGAAGAACGAGATCGTGGAACTCGACCTCTTGGCAACGATGTCTTAAGTAGAATAGCTTCTTTCTCTACAAATTCAGCCATATCCAAATTAGGCCTTGCACCTTCTGCTAATAATAATAATAATAATAAGGTATTTGTAGTTAAAATAATAAAGACAATAAGAAGTAACGAAATGAATCTTCTCTTGGAATTCATAATTCTTGTTAATGTTTTTTTGTGATTATGAGATGTCATTGAGTGTATTTATAAGCAAGGAATTTCTATAAAAACATGACGTGTTTTAATGACTAATGACTTCCTACTATGTTTTATTTTTATTAAAAATAATATTATTATTATATTTTTGTTATTCTATATTTGACTTTGGCAAAATTTGTTATGAAGTGTTGACTTGGCAATGCTACGTGGTAAGAAGTAAGAAGTAATTAGAAGGTTGGTATTCCTTAAATTTGTTACAAATCCAAATACATGGACACTTTAAAGAATGTTAGGTTGAAAAAATGTATTATTAGTCATATAATTCAATATGGTATTGAAGTAGGTCACAACTCACAAGGTTCGAGTCTCACCGCCACATTAGTAGCACCCCATTATTAAAGAGGATTTCTACACGTGTGCGGCTCGTGAAAAAGAATTAAGCTTAGATGTAATTAAGGAGACACATTGAAAGTATAATTACGTAAAAAAAAAAATAACACTTTCAATAGCTTAAACTTTTAGATGAAAGTTTTTAATAAACCCGGAAAAGGGTCAAAATTGCCCCTGAACTATGCGAAATAGACCACTTATACCCTCCATTACATTTTGGGATAAAAAATACCCCCACAGTTATCCCAGGAGACCACAAATACCCTCAAGAGTTAACACCCCAATTTTTTAGTGACGTGGCAAGCCACATGGGACTAATCCCTCCACCTAAGCATTGTCAACTAAGATTCACTACAAAAGAACTTGACTTTTAGTGGCAACAAAGTCGCCACAAAATCCCAAAATATTGCCACTAAAGGTTATGAGTGATTTTTAGTGGCGACTAAGGCTCCAACAACCATTCGCTAGTAAAACCTATTTTTTCAACAAAAAAATATGATAATTAATTTTCGATTGCAACCTAATTTTCTAAAATAAATAACTTGCAATATCCATATTAAAAACATCCAATATTATTACGAAAAATAATCAAAATTACTTCTCGATTCAAATCTCCTACTATATATATATATAATGCATCATTGTACATTTTATACATTTACATATGACATAAAAATAAAACATACAGTGTCTTCAAACTCCTACTTAATCGATATCATATTTGGTTTTTTAAAAACAATGAAGAAAAAAACACAAAATTAGAATTTAATGTTAAAAACTTTTAGTGACGATTTTCTGGGCTTTTGTGGCGACTGTTGTTGCCGCTAAAGGTCTAGTTCTTTTGTAGTGAATCCTAGTTGGCAA